GGGCGATGGGCGATTCACGGCCGCGGGTTTTTGAAACTTGGACCGAGGAGGCGAAGATAGAAGCTCAGAGCATCGGTTTTCACATGCCCAAGGCCTTAAGCGCAACAACTGTCGGTTCGCAGTGGTGCCCTCGTCAGGTCGGACACGGAAGCGGCGCCCCGCACCCTTTGTTTTGCGCGCGCGGTCATGTCACGTTTTTGCAACATGGTTTGGCACACCTGGGTCTTTATCACCATTTGCTGAACACGGTGTGTGTGTGTGTGTGTGCGCACAGTATGTTCGCCAGGTAATCGCACGCTGCTGCAGTTCAGTAGCAGAGCTTACGTGTTGCTTGCCAGGGCTGGCTGGTCGCCCTCGACGAGGAAATGCAGCAGTGCACTGCGTGCGACAAACGGCGCGCTTGCGCCCCAATCTGTCGCGGGAGAGGAAGGGGGAAGAGGAGGATTTAACAAGGAGCGAATATCAAAACGGGGAAAGGAGGGTCGGGCTCTCTGCGATCATTCGTCGAACAACTCATTGCCAGTCACATGTGCTTCTCGTGATATCGATGCGGTGCCCAACACCCGGGGCACGTCGACCGCTTTGCAGCCCAAGGCGGGGTTAGCCAACGGGACCAGCACGATGCCCACATTTTTGTTTTCCCACGGGGGCCTTTAGAACGAATTTCCTGCAACCCCAATTCCGCAGGGCCGCCTACAAACCGATTGTATGCCATTCGGTTTGCTTGTTGGGGGCGCGACCCGATTCGATTCGATATGGTTCGGTTCACTGGCGCCGGCCGGGGCCACCCAGGCCCAAGCGCGGCGATCCGATATCGACTGTTCGGGACGATGCGGTGTCGATCCGATCCGTTTTCGGTCCGATCCGGTGTCGCGGCTCGGTCCAGCTCATGCCTGCTTCGGCCCATACCGTGTGCATGCGGCCTGGATTAGTAGGTCGACCCTGCCAGATCAAGGGTGCCCTCGTGCCCTGTGTCTTGCGACCTGTGCCTCATGCATTCCCATGGCACTATGCCCTCGGAAAGGGTTTTCTGTCCCCTCGCGTGTCCTCCCCATTCAGGTCCGACTGTATGTGCGTCACCCCGGCAGCACCCCGTGCATAGCTAGTCGCTCGACGCGCGATTTCGTGCCCCGACGCGCGCGCGTGCAGCTTCCAATGGCCCCGTGCGCGACGGAGTTGTTTTGTTTTGTCCGGTGCCACTGCCACAGGGCGCGCGGCCGTGTGCACACATGTGCACACACGTTGGGCGAAGAGCACACGCATTTTATGTTGCAGTTGGGGGCGTTGCATTGCGTGTTGTTTGTTGTCGCGCCAGGGAGCACTGGACCCGCTCTCGCTGCACAGCGGCGTCAGAGGACAAACAAGCGCCGATGTGCAAACGCTGCGCGCGTCGGCTTGGACGTGCTTTTGTGAGGAAGAAAGCGACGACGACGACGACGACGAGGACCCCCCCCCAGGTTTCCTTGGTGGGAAGCGGAGTCGCACTTGGCGTCGCGAAGGCACGCCCGTGCGGCGAGGGCCGTCACATGGGACCGCGCCCTTTCTTTCCTTATTTTCCCGCGCCCCCTTCCCACCGTTCCTCGCCATCCCCCCCCTTCCTCTCCTCCCCCGCCCCCCCCTCCAATGTCCCCCTACGGGCGGGCGGGGATACTGGAGGGGAACGCCTGGCAGACCGTAGAGGCAGAGGCAAACTGGAGCGGAGGTGGACCGCGAAACCAATTTCTGTTTATTCAGGGCGCCTCGCGCGCACGCTCAAGCGCATTTCCGCCAAAAGAGGCAGAAACGGCCCCAAACGGTATCATATTCAGCGAGCAGGAAAATACGGGTTCGCTGGTCTGCTAGCGTGTGCGTATTGCACTTCCCCTACTTCCCCTTGCGCCCCAGTTTTCGCCATCCCATTGCTGGGCGGGGCCAGGAAACTTCCAGCCTACAGGCGGTGCTGCGCCACAGAAGCGTCCTGCTGACCCGAAGGGCCGAGTTCAGAGGCCAAAAAAGTTCGCTCCTATCTGCTCGCGTGCCAGTCCATACGTATATCCCAAGCTCTCGGTACCCGCCCTCGTCGTCTTCGATCGTACCCCCTTGGGGGCATATTTTCCTTACCTGCCACGCGTATTTGGTGCAGCCCCTAAAGCAAGGGAAAACAACACGGGCGGAAGGGGGAGGGAGAAAAATGGGACATAAGAGAAAATAGCAGGAGGGGGGGAATTGAGCAGAAAACACGTGGTAGAACCAGACGGTCAGATCGGGTGGGTCGACCCATAGCGGGTTGGTCGGGAAGGCGGGCCCAGGCAACGAGGTCGAGCAGGCGGGTTGCTGAACGTGGGTCCTGTTTGAATCGTGAGGAGACCTCGAGCGATAGCGCGATTCCCCAAGTAAGTCGTGAGAAAATCCAGCGTGGGCCACGAAGGGCATAACATCCGAGGCCACAGAGGGCAGCGACGAGGCCGCTGAGGGCAGCACTGGAGCCACGAAGGGCAGCGCGGGGGCCACAAAGGGCGACAGCGGGGCCACCAAGGGCATGCATATGGGGGGCCACGACGGGCGCGAACGAATGGGGGCCACGAAGGGCATATAATGCGGGGCCACACATGGCAGCGACGGGGCCACTCATTGAGGGCAGCAACGGGGCCCACGAAAGGCAGCGAGCGAAGGCGACCGCAGAACCAGTACGGGCAGCGAGGGGCATCGAGGGCGGGCGAACGTCAGCGAGCGGCGATTGCAGTCGTTAGCGTGTTGGTCGGGCGGGCAGGCCCCGACGGGCGGGTCGAGCGGGCGGGCCGTTGAAGCGTGAGTCCTGCTTGAACCGCAAGGCAATATGTAGCGGGAGCGCGATTCCTGAGTGTCGAGGACCGGCATCTGAATAGATGGTGAGGGCATATCAAGCGAAGCGGTTCGGTGGTAAGTTGCGAGGAGGTCCCAAGCGAGAGCGCGAGTCTGCAATACATTGCCGGGAAAATCAGGCGGGAGCCGCGATTCGGTGGCAAATTGCTTGGAAGTCCCAAGCGAGAGTGCGATTCCTCAAAACAGTGTGAGGAAGTATCAGGCGGGAAGCGCTGTTGTTGCAAACCGGGGGCCAACGGAACAGTTTAACCTTCAAGACTTTCCCTGATAAGAAACAGGGTGCGCTCCTATTGCGAGGGGCACTTCAATCGAAATAATACCATGTGCACCGGACGGAGGGATCAACAATAACTTTTTCCAAATTGGAGAGTTCTACAGCAACAGCAAAATCAACAACAACAACAACAACAACATCAACATCAACATCCACAACAACAACATCCACAACAACATCATCAACAACAGGAACACATTGGAAACAGGAACACATTGGAAACGGTGTGAGGTGCGATTGGGCGCCCTTTGGAGACCGTCGCGGGGCCCGACACTGGCATGCGTTGCAGCGGGCGACGGATTGGAGCCCCTGGGCGCCCCCGTGAGGCTCCCAAGAAACACCGCGGCGACCCAAGAAACTGCGAAACAGAACTCAAGAGACCTCCGGAAGGCATCGTTCTCGCAGTCTTCGTCTTCACCGTCCTCCATTTCGTCTTCACTTCTTTTTCGTACCCTTTCCTCCTGCCCACCCGGCCCCCCCGTCCCCTTCGCGACCTTCATCCTTTTCCTTTTTCCCCTCCCCCAAGGATCCACAACAAAATGCTTCGTTAGCATGTGCGAGGGCTGCCACCCCGCTGACATTCGGGCGGACGAATCAACTGGCGACGGCTGCGCGCCGGGCAGCACCCAGGAAAAAACAACACCTCGTCCCCCCAAGTGCGCCCTTCCTTTCGACTTTAGACTGGCTGAAATTCCGCATGAGTTGGTTGACCTGTCGCGCACGAAAACACGTTGCAACATCGGCGCCAAATTAAACCCGCATGCCCCCGAAATACGAACACCATGCGACAGATTAGAAATCAGTTCGTTCACATTTCCGAAATTTTCCGCGCGCGGGGTCGCCAACCCAATGGCGACAATTTCGCGGACTGGGGCCCATGCCGGACGCAGTGGTTGCAAGTCCTGCCTGGACTTGGTGCGCAATGTGGACGTGCCTCTTCTGTTGTGGGTAGGCAAAGCGGAGCCCGTTTTGATTTTTTGAATATTCCCGTCCACTGGGCTGGGGGGCATGTTACCTGCGGGGATGTTCGGGGTCTTGGGGGCCATCTCGGGGGAGGGGGGTTCCCAGGAAACCAGTGCCCGTTCGAATTCCCCTCTTGGGACCGTCCTGGGTTCCGCATGGGGGCCTCCTGGACCGTGTTGGGTGTGCGTTTGGGTAAGTTGGGCGCCCTATTGGGCTGGGGCCTTTTGGGCCGTTGGGAGCCGGTCCGGGTGACCTCTGGGAATGTATCAGGTTCGCGGGAGCACGAAAGGCGATAACATCATTGTGTTCTACATCATGTGGGTCTCGTGGGCATTCTGTAGTGTGTCTTGAGGCGTTTGGAGGGGCCCCTCGAGCCGTCATGCGGCAGTCTTGGCTTTTACATGGGTTTCTTGAGCGTGTTGGCGTCGTTTTTGCACAGTCGTGGAGTGCATCTTGACCATCGCAGCGACGTCGGAGCCTGGATTTGGAGGCCATGGGGCCCAGAGGGTGCGCCGATGAGCTCGTGGGGAACCCCCATCCGCCTTCTTTCAAACGAAATATAGGACCCCTGGGGAGTTGGAGAGCGGGAGGGGGTCAACTCAACATCTCACACGGCTTTTCGCTCCCAGCACCAGATTTCGTCATTGGTTCGCCGTCAAGGTCGCGATTGTTTTCGAGGGGATCCAGTTGTCGGTCGTTGGCTTACCAGTTTGAAACAGATCTCTATCCCTGTGCTTGGCATCGCCCCACCTCGATGCCGTTCTTAAGGGTCCCCTCAGTTTCTGACGGCACATCCCTAAGATTGTCCTCGCTTTCTGCTCGCCCATCTTAGGGATATGGGGTAAGTTCGAGGCTGTTTTCGGGGTTTGCTGAGGGCGTCCCTGGCCCGAGGTGTCCCCAGTTTGCAGCGTCATTTCGGAGCCCTGGGGGCCCTCTTGGGCTCCTGGAGGGTGCCCTGGAACCCCCGGGGGTCTACTTGGGAATCCTGGGGCCACCTTGGGCCAGGGACCTATCTGGCATCACCCGACCCGTCACTATCCCCTCTCATCAATGTTGCGTGCTCCTCTCCCGTGCTCCCACGCTACTATGTGTTCCCCCCTTCTGGGCCTTGCCTCCCTATCCTCCGAGTATTCGCGTGTTGCGCCCGTGCCGGGTCATCTTTCCTACCGCGTGCTGCCGGCCGCGCCGGCCAGCTAGGGAAGGCACGCTGCGCACGGGAGCGGAAGTGGTGTGCGCATGGTTGGGCCGCCAAAATCTTAAGGAGTGCGGGCGGTGGGGCCATGCGCAAGTGAGCGATGCAGAAAAAGGTGTTCGATTGTGCCGGCGACATTCGCGCGTAAGCTGCCCGCGCAAGGTCGCGCGTAAGCGCCCTCGTTTCCAGTGTAGTGTGCCGGGCTGGCGGCCTGTGGCGTAATGTCGCTAGGTCATTTCGCGTCAGACCCGCTTATGATCGCCGCTCAAGCGGGAAAGGCGGGCAAGCCCCAACCTTCGGAGAAGGCCTCCCGCAAGGAAGCGTGTCAATCGGCACTGGGCATTGCCGGAAGGAAGAGCAGAGCGGCGACCGAAGGAACGATCAGCACACGCACACAGACACACGTGCAACAGCACATGTACATACACACCCGTATTATGTATGTGCGTGTGCGTACGTTTATATTTTATACATTCATGTTAATGTGCACATACATCAGAGTGAAGGGGCCGAACGGTCAATCACTGTCCTTGGGTGCGTGGCTGAAATTGGGATCCGTGGTGAGGGTTTTGCTTGTTGCGTTGTTGTTTGTTTGTTGTCGTCGTCCCACCCGCGACCCACCCGCGACCACCCCGCGACCCACCCCGGGACCCACCCAGAGACCCACACCGCAACCCACCCCGCGACCCACCCGCGACCCAACTCGCGACCCACCCGCGGCCCACCCCGCGGCCCACCCGCGACCCACCCGCGACCCACCCGCGACCAATCCCGCGACCCACCCGCGACCCACCACTCGATCCATCCGCGACCCACCCGCGACCCATTTGCGACCCACCCTCGACCCACCCCATGACCCAACCGCGACCCATCCGCGACCCACCCGTGACCCAACAGCGATCCACCCGCGACCCACCCGCGACCCAGGCGCTTGCGGCGGGCTCATTGTATAATTTGTGAGTTTTTGGCGCCTGCGGCGGGCTTCTCCAGAGTCTCGCAGACTGCCGACGTCCCCACCTCCCCCTCACCCTTATCCGCATATGCGAGGTGTTATGCTTGTATGCACACATCATATACATATACATGCATATATATATATATGTGTGTGTATATATGTATAATATATGTATATATATATATATATATATATATATATATATGTGTGTATATACATACACACACATCTATACGTAGCACCCCGCAATTGCGGATAAGAGTGAGGGGGCGGTCGCGGGCGACGCGGGCGTCGTCGAGCCGGCG